GACATCTCTCCAAACATACAACTATTTTCAATAAATCATTGTATCTGCTCTAACAGCCCTGATCAAAATTAATTACAATCCTAACCTAAGAAATCGTCATGGCACTTACAATGAATTACTGCCATACAAGAGAGGTCTCCCCAAACTTCAAGCTTGGCCTGTGCAACTTAGCTGTAACAATTCAAACCAACAGCCTGACCCAACTTTCTTACAGCCTCCTGCAGCTACCCAGCGACTCCTCTGTCCCCGCTCAGCCTCCTGCAAACACCGTGCCCCTGGCACGGGCACACGGGCTCCCAGGGGCTGCAGCAACAGGGACCCCAACACCCGGCCAGGTGCCCTGCTGGGGCGGGAGGGAGGATCTCCGGCTTTCCCCCAGCCCGGCCCCAGGGCAGCGTACAAGTCCTGTCCTGGAGATAAAAGAGCCTTGGGGCAATGGGTAAAAGCAGCCAATGATGATCAATTGTACAATGAAAGGAAGCAAGCCATTTAAAAAGGAACTTTTAAAAAAACAGGCTGCATCTGTTTAAAATTACATTAGAAAAAAGGTATAACGAATGTCCCTATTTCCACAAAAGGATATATTCTCTTACCGTAACCTCTTGGCAGACTGAACACTCTGGTCTACAGGATAACAACCACACATATAAGCTATCGCTTCCCAATTATACACAAATTAATAATTCACTGCCACAGGGAAAAATGAGCCCAATCATCCATCATTCTTATGGCAGCTAATTGGGCGTGGAGCGGGCCAGCTCTGGTGGTAAATTGTAAATAATGCATATAGTATATCAAATTTTGCATGTAGATAGACAAGTTAATTTGCTTCCCACTAAAGAAAAAGGCCTTTTTAAGAAGTAGACCATTTATCTCAACACTAACATGCACGACTGCTTTCACACATACACCTACCGTTACATATGTCCACCATGCAGAAAATCTTTTAATAATGAGCATCATGTTTCAAGATGTGTGTGTACGTGTGTATATATATGCATACATATGTGTATACAGACACACAGAGAACCTTACAATTCAAATAAAATTCACTGTGAATACACAGATATTGAAGTCTCAAAGCTTCCACGAATAACATATATATGTAAAGTTTTCTAAGAGACTGACACAGGGTTGTCTCTGTATCAAACATTCTCAATCACATGCCTTATTTGCAGGTTTTAGGAAAACGAAATATAATTCATTGGCAATGTCCAGCTGCTTTTTTATGTAAAAATGAACCCACTTGCCACTGGAAAGTTAGGGAGTGGAACCAGCTGCAGAGGGTTTTTTTGTTTGGTTGTGGTTTGAGTGTTTTTTTAAAAACAAAACAAAATATTAAGCTGTTCTTAGGGGCCTTTGAGTTTAAAACATGAAAGAAATGACTCTCTCCTTTTCTCCTTCCCCACAGGCAAAAAAACCCCATACACTTCTAAGCAATTCTCAAGCAACCTGTGTCGCTAGTGTGGTGCATTGCTCTCCCCATAGCACAACTGCTCGTGAGCTACCATCATTCACTCACAGCTCCACAGAAGACTTGGCATGAACAAAAGATATTTAGACTTCAGAGCTTGAAAACTGAACCAACTTACTCTATATAGAATAACACTTACTTTCTTTTTTCTTAAGGTAGTTAGAAAAATTATGAAAATCACCTTGATAAAACACCAGTGATGTTGCATATGGATGTTGAGGTGTGATGACATAAATGCTCTCTACTTTTTCGGCAGTTCTAATAACATACTTAGATATTTGACCCTTTTCTACTCTCCCCTACAAACAGAAGAGGGAAAGAAATCCCTTGGTTGTTTTCCTGGCTGACGCTGAAGGAACTCGTCAACCCACAGCGGGATGCAGTGAGATCCAAAACTGGGCCCTTTGTAGTTGAAAAGGAAAGTCTTTAGCCAACTGGAAGTGACTTCTGATGGAAACTTTATGATTCTTCTTCTCCAACAGATTAATTGAAGGAAAAGTTTAACTTGATGTTTCATTCTGGTATCTATTGGCAACTGATACTCAGTGATAACTGATATGCTTGCAATTTAGGAGTAAAAGCTTTTCTCCTTCATGCAAATGGCATCACACATTTGGTATTGATAACGCAGAGGGATTTGGCCTGAATTCCAAATTAACTAAGGATCCAAACTCATGATACTCATTATTTTTCAAATCTCATGTTTTCTAAGACAAACTGGAGTTCACATTCCCTCATATTCCTTTGCACGTTTGAACCCTTAGAAAATAGCTGGTTTGTGTTTCAAAGGGTCTGATTTTCTAATCACAAGGACTAGAATTTTCTCCTTTGTATTTTCTTTTCATCATTCAAAATTCTCATGTAATCCACAGCTTCTAAATGCTGAGGAATTATCACAGATGCCACAATATCAAATACCTTTGCAAGAACTCCCCAACCCACTATAAATCAGTGCAAGGTCAGTAAGGGCTGCACACATGGCAGCCACCCCACTTAATGGTCCCTTCAGGGTCCTTATCAGCACCTAGGCACAGATTTCTAAATGCACATAGGCAACTAGCAAACATGCAAGCCCTGTGTTCCCAAAAGCATCGATTTCTCTGACACCAAGCCATGAAATACAACAGTCCAAAACCACAACTGAGTAACCTGCATCCCCATCACTGAGCAAGTGCACTGCGGTGCTGCTAACGTCAATGCATGATGCCATGCCCTGACATGGAGCATCACTGTAGACAATGGTCTGAAGACAAAACAGCTTAAACCACACTCCCAGATTATTCCTGTTCTGGGTAATACCATGTGGCTGTGGGCTACTGGGGGAGTAATGCCATAGCCCAGGGCTCTTGCTGGCAGATGCTGCCAGTCACAAACATAACAAGGGGAGCAGCAAGACATCACTTCAGGGTGTAGAGTAAAAGCACATTGGAGCAACTCTTTGCATTTCTGTCTATGGTTTCTGTGTGTTGCTCCCAAATAAAGCCAGCACTGTTTGCAGAAATTTAGACTGTCCTTAAAAAAAGTAAATAAATAAATAGACAACAAAAACCCCAACAAAGATATTCTTTGCGTAACCCACACCTGCAGGTGACTTAGGGAGATGGGATCTTTTCAGCAGTTCCCAGCATGTTAGAGGACAGACCGTGATTAAAAGTAAAATGATGACACTTCTGTCCAGTTGTGCTCTGGCCGGGACTACTTGGTGAGAAGGGCAGGCTGTGTCAGTCAGAAGGATCACACCCACCCCCGCAGCAGGAACACACCCCATGCTCCCAAGTCTTTGCTCCAGAAGTGGAAATCCCAAACCCAAATCTTCCACCAGAGTCCTCTGTAGGGCAGGCAGGAGGCATCTCAGCTCCTGTGTGTGAGGAAGGCTGGTATCTTCCTTCTCACCCTCCCACACTGGAGCAGCCCTTGGTTAAGAGCTGGAACTCGCAGTCAAAGCTCTCTGTTGTCAGCAGGGACATCTGGCTGAGAGGATGAAACAGGGGATTTCACAGGCTGATTCACAGCGGCTCTGGTGGCAGAGCATTCAAACAAGTAAAGAAACTAATGCATGATTACAGCTCTGAGCAAAAGAAAATAATTTGTCAAAAGTTGAAGAAAGTCTTGCCTAATTTTCCCTTTGGTCAAAAAGACAGATACATACATGGCAGAACTCAGATTTTTATTTTTTTTAAATTTTATTTCTTTTTGACCAGCATATAGCCCATACATGACCCTCCGCTTCCAAATGAGCATTGTGGAAAGAAAAAAATAAATCATTTTTAGGGCCATATTTGGAAATGCTGGATCATCCAAAGACTCAGACAGAAACAGTTCTGAAAGCTGCTGGCCTGATGTTTTATTCCCCATCCCACCATCTAATGCTGCACCTGAGCCACTCTGCAATTTCTGTAAGCAGGGCAAGATACTGCTCCCACTCAGCAGAGCTCATTCCAGCTGGCCAGGTGTGTGTGGGGGGGGTATCTCTGCCACCTCCTGCAAAGCAGAAATTACAAATCATGTCCACAAACAGCAAAGTAAAAAAAAAAAAACAACTCACAGCAATATTTACCTAAATATTTAAAAGAAAATAATTTTAAAATATTAAAGGTAATTCTCGTGGAGACTGATGTAATACTAAATGGAAATAAATTAACATTTTCATTCCACTAAATGAAATAGAACCCACACACATAAAACAAAACCAGAGTTTGCATTGGAAAGACAGCTTAAAACTCCCAAGCTTTAACTCAAAACATTTTTTTTATTAAAGTATGAATGCATTTATGCTGGAGAATAGTTTACATACATTGTAAAGCAACAAGCATATTTTCAAGAGGTGTGGGCCCTCCTCAATATGTCTCCATGCTCAATCTACATGCTTTAACACGGGACTCACACATACACTCTCACTTACAAACATATAGACCCACAAAACACAGACATAGAGCTATCTGCTTTGATTAGATTTCTTTTAAGGCTTCTGTAAGGTGCCCTAGTGCCCCTAACATTACCATAATTACGAACAAAATTGTATAAAGGAGCAGCATTACCTGCAAACTATTGATCTGCTCTCAACCTTAAAAAATATCAAGTGAAACAGGTTTTTCCTTTTATTTGAGTTTTATTAAACATCTGCATTTAAGAAAGGCATGACTCTGTATATCTGTGAAAAAGGAAAGATAACGCGAATCTTAAAATGAGCTTCTCAACCAGAACAGATGTTCAAACCTGACTCCCAAGGGACCGTTTCCTTTGATCTTTACAGTAACGCAGCCCTGGCTGTGCGACAAGGCACTACCAGCTCCATCCCACCAGGGTCACTTGACCAGCAATGCGGAGACCGGTAACATGGAGTTGAGGCTATCATGCTCATATCACTTCAGACCTGAGGTTGATGAGAAGTCAGAGACACTAACAGACCCAAGTGTCCCTCAACTCTTACCAGTGGGCCCCGCTCCCGCAGAGCACATCAAAACACACAGATAGTGGTGCTGGCCTGCTGTACCCCTAGCCATTGTGGAGTATTTTTCCTCTTTTTGGTATCCTGCAGTACATAGTCTGAAACTGCAACTACTGGTGTTGGGTGAAGGACGTGGCAGCAGGTATATTAAGAAAATAGGTACAATGAATAAAATAAAGGATAGCATATGATATAATGTGTACATACAAGCATCTTCTTTCATTTTTTATCTGTGAAATGTGAATTAACTGCAGAATGCCAGGCCATTAGTCTAAAAGGCTATGTATGGCTGTCTTAGCCTACGTACGGTCAATGGATTTTTGTGATGCATCATGGAGAAAGATTCTTCGGGAACCATCAGGGCTTTCCAGGTCTACTTGCTCTTGTGCATCAGCCCCCAGCTAGGAATGCCAGAGGAGCAACTAATAAAATTGCCTGACCAGTCTTATAAGACAAACAGGAATGATTCTACTTCATGGTATGCACCTGAACTACAGAGATGAGAAAGGGACAGTGATGGGTGGGTGTAGAGAGATGGGGGAGGGAGCTTTTTTCTCACTTTTACAACAGCAGCAGATTTCAATGTAACGTAATTACTTTAATGATGCATATCTGTAGGTACTGAATTGCTCTTTTGATTTAAAAAGCTGGTCAGACAAGTGTTTGGCAGTCCTTTCATTCCCCAGTTTCAATTGTTGCTTATTCACCTCTCAGATCTCACTCCCTAGGCCATTTCTGCCTTTGCTGAACCGTGAATGAGTTCAGTCAGCCATCATCAGATTCAAATTCATGAGACACTTCCTCTGACGAGCTGTTCCTGTGGATACGGCCATCGCTTTTCATGCTGTGAAAAGTCTTCTTAAAGGCCTCCATCATGGCATGGGCCAGCTTCTTGGCCTCCAGCTTGCTCTCACACTCTACAGCATGGCAGTCCATCTGGTAGGACAAGTCATCGTTGATCTCCCGATAGACCCAAGCAAAGATGTTTGGGCTGACGTTGTGGTCAGCAGTGCAGTAGGCTATACGTGCTACCTGAAAGGTATCCATGTGGACTGTCGCCTCGCCTTTGAGGTCCAGATGATGCAGCCAGACTTGGAAAGGGCGAATTTCCAGAAGGGCGTTAGCTGGGTAAATATCCTCCCTGGCGAGCGTGTGCTTCTTCCATAATTCAATGACTGGTTTCTCTGTGCAGCCTGACAAAAATTGCATCCCTGTTGTGGAAACCTTACCCAAATATGTAACCTGCAAAGAAGAGCAAAGATAGGTGAAACACAGACAGCAGGCTCCAGCATTACTTTCTGCTGTTCCAGGGAACTTTCCTTTATCTGGAAAATAAAAGCACCCCCACCCTGCAAACCCCCCCAATTTCCCCAGCATCTTCAGTAAAACAGTTTTCAAACTGCTTTCCAGATATTTGCTTTTTCAGATGCTGACTTCACCAATCAAACCCAGATGTTAGAAATGTTCAGTCTCTGAGTTTTAAGGGATTTCACTCTCTTCAGGTCCCCTGGAAAGGCCTGCTTTAGAGCCCATGACTGTACCTCTAAGCTCATGTCAGCAAGTTTAAGTGCCAGTGGAGCAGGCCCCAGGTAGCTGTGATGCTAACCGCTTTTTTTTCTTTCTACTTTATTCAGATGATTTATTTGTATCATATTTCAAACATTAATATCAGGGAGACTGAGACATTCTCAGTTTGATAATACAAGGCTGCAGGGGGTCAGAAAAGCACGATCACAGTAGAGGATTTTAAACTGTTTGAATGTTTTTTTCCAAAATGATCCTGGTTTTCCACCACTTCTGCTGTTTCTACTTAAGTTTTAAGCCAGGAATAGCTCAAAGCTGTTCGAGACTCTATCTTTGACCAGGGCTGAGACATTTATTACATCAATTTTAGAAAACATGCTGTTAAAAATCTAGCAATAAATCTACCTTAGTTTAATCACATCATGTCTGTGCTTTTCTGTCTAGCTCTTCTGAGTAAATATCCTGTTATCCAATCTGCACAGGAAGGCAAGGTGGTTTTAGTGCCCTTACTGTATTTTGTTCACCAAAAAACAAATCCACTGAGAGGTCCATATCAAAATTCTGTATTAAGCCTGTGCAGAATCTCTGCAGCTGCTAAAGAGGCTTTCTTCCACTTACAGATGAATGGAAGATTATTTTATCTGGGAAAAGGGATTTTCTCTAGAAAAGACAGATCAATGCCACATAAATACAATTATGCAAATTATTCTATTTATTGCTGTTGTCAGAATGGTGCATTTAAGAACAACTATATGAAAGCAAAATTGCTCCTAATTTGTCTCTTGCAGCAGTAATTGCTTGAGACAGAATTTTGTGCCTCTTGCTTGACGTCTTATAATCTCATGTGCATTTTACTCAAGGCATTTGGAGAAAAAAAAAGTCATCACATGCACTTTCCAAACTAATTTCTTCAAAATTCTGCATTAAACACACAGTATCAGCTATTTTTATTTTGTATATGCTTTAAGAAATGCAAAGAAAAAATATGGGATTTCCACACTTAAACACATTAAAAAATCATACCCACAAGGAATACAGGATTTGTATTCCATGCAAACAAAATTTTCCACAAGAAAAATATTTTGCTGCAAGCTTCATAGGTTTTGTTAAACTCAGAGACCTAAATTAAGCCATAATTAAGGAAAAAGCTTACAAAACATTATTGGAAGTCCGTGTGGCTTAATCACGCCTGCCAAAAAAGCAATTTCATACCATTGACATTTCAAAATGGGAAATCTTATTCTTTGCCTATAAATATTCATGCTTTGCACTGGGAATATGTTAAATCTTATAAAGCTTTATATTTTTTGGAACAGTGGGAAACACAACAGCTAGAACAGTTAACAAGGCAAGACCCACCAGTGTTTTGCTTTATTTTATTTTATTAGTGATGAGAGTTGAGTTCCCTAAAGTACTGTAGAATAACTTAAAAGAAAACCTCAGAGCTCATAGTGCCAACTAAACACATACAACCAGCACATACAAGACCAAAGAAGAATATGTGTCTGCAACATACTGGGGGGTATTTCAACATATATCCACAGTCATATTGCTTTCAAAAGATCAAGATCAGTGTGCAAATTTGCGCATTCAATATATTCTCCGAAGGTTCACTCAGCACCATTTCATATTCACAAGCCGGCTAACAAAAGACTAACACACGCTGTAAATTAACTGAGCGTCTGGGGTTAGATTCAAAGCCCATTGCAGTAACAGAAGTCCTTCACTGACTTCAAAGAGATTTGCACAAAGCCTTTAAACCCTGAGGAACAGAGAATTAGCCTTTTGCTCATGCACTTTTTCACTGCCCAAATACAGTTTTGAATCCCTGGCCGCAGGAGAGATGCTGCCACCACTCCAACATTTTGCCTGCCCCGCTGCTGTTTGGAGAAGACCAGTATCACTTGGAGCATGCAGAAATAAGCACCTCTTGTTAGTGCACAACAGTAAATGCAGGGAATTGTTTCATTGCAGGCTTGTCTGCAAGAGGAAGCTGTTGGCAGCATGTGAGCTGCCCTGCCACGAGGGCATAAGGAATGGGAGAAGAGAGGAAAGCAAAAGCAGCTACATCCCACTTAGGAAGCATTATTATGGGTCTTCCCAGGCAGTTAGCACTGCTGAGCTCGGTGCTGCAAACTCACCCCCAGCACACAGAGCATCAGCTTCTCAGCACAGATGACTCCCAAGTGATGCTCGGGACACCTCCGGCAGCTGAGGAGCAAGACCAAAGCGGGTTGTCACATGGGAGTATAAATTGAGTTTAATGTTCTCTGTATTCCTTCCCTGCCACTAACTGCAACAACCTTTTGGCCGTCAATCTGTGCATGGCCTGCCTAAGTGTGAAGTTACAAAAAAATAATGTATTTCCTTACAAATAAAGTATTTGTATTTTACAAAGAAAAGTAGTGAATTACTCTGAAAGCAGCCAAGGCAAAAGTAACTAATAAGAAGGATGGGAAGATGGCTTATTTACCAAAATGGGATATAATAGTCTGATTACTGTCCCAGTTCTGTCAGAGTATAACTGTGTAGAAACCTTTGGAAAGTTGCTTCCTTTAACACTACTTTGCATCTCCATTATATAAATTTCATTTTCCTTTGAGGACACATTCATAAATATTTATAAGGTGCTTACACATTACAACAAAGAGTTCACAGGAAAGAGAATAAAGAAAACTTCTGGTTTAGAGTCTCTCCTGTACTGTGTCTTGCATAGAGACATCAACACCTACTAATGTTGTTATTTTTTTTTCTTTTAAAACAAATTATCTTTTTTTTTCCTGGTTGAGGTACAAGCATTTCACAAGAGTAGCATTACTGTAGCTCTTAGTGAAGACAGATGTCTAACATTTCATTGCTTCATTGTCCCCTGCTAAATACAGAACAGGGATACAGGGGCTGGCGAGACACCTCGAATACTTGACACAAAAAAGGCAGCGACCTCTTCAGAACAAAGTTTTCTTCATGATTAAATATCATCTACGTGTTATCCATTACATATTAATCCATCTGGAGCTGGCCAATTTAGTAACTTAGATATTAACATTTGCGTAACTGCAGGGATGGTACCGGTTTGAACTAAAACCAGCAAAACATGGATAGGCCACTTCTCCCTGAGCTCTCAGTTACAAGGTTATTCCACAAGCAATGCTCCCTGCATTTTGGCTCCTACCTCTTCATGTCTCACAGCACACCCACCTTTATTTAAATGCCCAGAAACCAGTGACCACACACATCATTAGAGTAAAGCTATTACAGTATAACCATCTTCCTTTCTGATTTCCAAGTTTGCCAACCAAAGACCAAAGAACAGATTATTCCTTCCATTATCAGAGAGAGAAGAAAATTATTTTGAGGCAAAAATTCCCACTGGTGGTCTTTTCCATTAAAATCGATGGTGTCTCATCAGTGTGAAGCCAGCAGGAAGTATAAAAAAAAAATAATTTCATCTTTAATACTCATAGGAACCAGATGTGAAGGGCACAGAAAGACATCATTATTATTGTTGTTGTTGTTACGTGTGCATGTGCAAACACACACTGAAGAAGAGCCTGAACAGAATCAACTGTATAGCCTTACTAACTAGAGAGCAGTCATTGACAAGGACAGGCAATAGCCACAGCTCAGGCCGAAAGCCACATCTGCGATAATACAGGTCTGACTACCAGCCGAACTTCACCAGGACTGAATAACACTTTTCCTTCCTCTGAAATACTGGACAGAGGTCACTTGGCAGTAAACATCAGTCCAGGAAGATGACTTATTTGTGACAGCATGGCACGTCCTACAGCAAGTGTCATCCTACACACACCGAGGCCAGTAACCGTGTTCCCTCCCCTCTAGCCACAGTGCAAGGCAGAGTAGCCACAGGCTGGTTGTAATGTGTAAATTATGATTAAGCTGTTGCAGCCTTTACTTGTTTTGGACACTGTATTTTAAGTGAGAAAAGGAATGGAAAAGCCAGCTCAATGCCACTGTGTTAACCTTAAGCAATGAAAGCATTCATATCTTCTTCCAGGGGTAGGAATATATTTCTTTATGGCACTTTCAGTCTTTTGGTTTGTGTGTTCCATCTTTCCCACGGATTTCTGGAAGATACAACTCGCAACAACTTCTTGTGCATGTTAAATATTACCCACATTCTTCCCAAACTGGCGTTTCCCATTTGATCCTTTGCTCCCTGGCAAGCCACTGTCACCCAACATGACACAAAATACACTTGTGGTTTCAGCACTTCTGTGCTTGCAAACATTCAAACCTTTAGCAGAAGCCAAGATGGTCTGAAGAGCTCCTTATTTCACCCTAGAGACTTGCCAACACCAGTGTCAGTATCTGACAAAACCGTCCTCAACAGAAAAAGGCTGTGCCTTTGCCCTTTCATAACACAACTACAGCCATCTGACATGTAGAGATGTCTCATGTCAAAGGACATGAAGATTAATCGATGTCATCTTTCATGTACTGTCCTGGACACACAAAAACATCTGAGTATTTTGACATTGTTGTTTTCAACCCCTTCAGTCCAGTAATGCATAGTGAAAATACCTTTTAACAACTAGGCTCAAGAGCTTACCAACTTTGAAAAGACCAATATAGCAGCTGCCATAGACATTTTCACTTCTAGCACAGCATGATGTGTCAGAAGTAATAAGGGGGTTTTACTTTCCATACTCAATTCTTTTCTTTATCATTGACCTTGCATTGTTTACTTGCAGCTC